GCCGTTTCATAATCTAGTTCATCATGTTGATTAGATGAATCATCATTTACCAAGGGGTCAACATTTCTTGCTCTCTTATTAATAGCCTCAAGAACATTTCCTTGTTCTAACGGAATATTGGTGATGTCATTAAAAACATTTATGCTTCTCTTTCTAAGATTTTTTAAAGCAGGCTGCCTCACAGTTGTCAATACTGACTTACAACTCTGGTTTGCTAGAAAAACAGAAAATTTAATGTGTTAGACACATTTAAATTAATACCATGAATAGTAATGTTCTGTCAGTCTCATGTATAACCATCAGGTACAATAAGCAAAGATATATCTTATTTCCCAACTTACATGAAAATGGTTGCGTCAGTGGAGGTCTCTTTAACGCGTTTGATGATTCACTGTTTTCCTTTCCAATACCTTGTATAATATGGAAAAATATTAGCAAAAGAAAATCTAAATTTGGCAGTAATTAGCTAACTTAATTATACATTTAAAACCTACCAATTCGACGATTTAGGTTAGTCCCTGGTGTTGTAAATGTCATAGGACTGTTGGAGACATCGTTGAAAACTCTATTAAATATAGATTAGACCGGTATAGATTGGTTGTTTGTGGTAGTAACCTCTTGTGTATCATGACTTGGATCTTTTGGCATGTGATTCTCCTTTTGATTTGCTAGTATAGGAAGTCAAGTTAAAAGTGTCAAGATGAAATAAAACTAAATTACATATATTTAACTTTACATAGGTAAGTATATATTAACGAGAATAAAAAAAAACAAACAAAGAACAATGTCAACTTACATGACTTGCAATGTGAATACCTACTTCTCTTTGCCGTTTGAGATGCATGCCAATTTTCCTTTCCAACATCTTAGAAAAATAATCGAAGTATGTTCTTCAAGATAATTTAATATATCATCAGTTACAACTAACTAAATTACGAAAATACTTATCTACTGTACGTTTAAGAGAATTGACTGGTGTTATAGGTGTCAAAGCGCTGTTTGAGACATCATTCAAAACTGTATTAGTTTTGGTCGCAGACTTTGGTAGGCTTTCGCCATGTTTGGGCATAGGTCTTGAGTATGGACTGTCTGCTGCAATATCTTTTTTTTTCTTCATGAGATCAGCCTTAAAGCAGGAAAGAAGTTTGTAGTTAAAAACGTTAAAAGATACAGTATAAGCTCACAAGAGATAATAGGTAAACAAAACAGAAAAGTGATTTGACCTTTTCAACCAGATAGAAATGGTGTGATAGTAGTACACTATGTATGAATAAGGGTTGAGAAAAAAAATTAGTAAGATAGCCGCTATTGATGGATTTAGGTTAGCATCTCCAATCGTTTGGTAATGCTAGATTTCAAAGAGATTTCCTTTGCGGGTTTTAAGGAATGTAAATATGTGATTTTTTCAAATAAGAAATGATTAGTTAATATATAATCTTGTTCATCATTTGAATCAAATTTACATTAATTTATTGTAAATGCAATTAGGTTTTGATTTCCTATGCGGGTTGTAAGGAATGTAAATATGTGATTTTATTAAAATAATGAATGATTAGTTTATATATCATCTTGTTTCTTTATTTGTTTCAGTTTGATTCAATATATCAAATTTATTTCTTTTAAATTTTTAAGAACAAACTTCCTGCGAAGATAGAGAGTATGTAAGAATAATATATCAGCCTTTTGATGCCAAAAAAACAAAAAAACAAAAAGAGAGTATGTAAGAATAAACTTCTTAAGAATAAATTTTCTTTAACATCATATGCTCATATTATATAATGTCTTCCTACATTGAAATCAAAATGAAACTATGTAACTTTGCAAGAATAATTGCTAGGTTGAATATTGGTAGATAGAGAGTATGATTGACTTTTATAATATAGATGCATGAGTATAAGTGCTAAAACCAACTTTGTTGATCATAATATGGAAAACAGCATTATAACTAAAATGAAATAACCAAAAATCCAAATAACAAAATAAAAAACCAGCTATTAAACTTAAGCAGCTTTTAAAACAACATCAAAAGGATTTGGATCAATCATCATGAGGGTTTATCTTCTCCAACTTGATCATTTTAGTGCACAATTCTTAGACGTAGATGTCATGTCAAGTAGATCAGCATCTTCTTTTTTTGCGCTTCGAAAATGGAGTTTCTTTGTTTGGATCCATTCTTGAAATTTTTGCATCATCAAACGCAGTTAGATGGATTACTTTAGCTATTTTTAATTATAATATATAAGAAACAAACTGAATTACCTCTCCAAGAGAAAGAGTTGATGAAACTGTCTCAACATAGGAAGTTTTCTCTGTTTGAGATTCGATTTTTCAAATCGTATCTCCAGACAACACGTTGGACACCTTAAAAGTATTGGATACATTGGCTACATTATCATTACTTATGGAGATACCGAAACAAATCGATCTTCCAACTAAACTTTCAATAGGCTCAGGTAAGATAGTTGGATCTTCAATCTATGTGAAAACATGTAAATATTATTGTAAGGCAATACAAATGTTTTAATGATTTAGAATAAGTTGTTGAAAGAAAAACCTCATTATATGAACCGTCCCAAAGATCTGTCGCATCGTTACCAATAATAGATTGAGCAACAAAGTCGAGCAACATAACTCTGCAAGACTCGCTATCATCTTTCACAAACAAATGAAGTTTGTAACTGAGGTTACAAAACATGTATAGTTATAAAGTATTGAATGAAAAATGTAATAATATTTATGGACAACCCTAGAATACTTACTTAGGTGACACATTATGTGTGACTGCACGACATATGTCACAAGGGGTTTTTGGACTTGCCCTTGTTTGGTAACTCGCCGGTTATGTCTATTATAACCAAAGTAGAACCAACTCCAATCTATATCAATTGATTCAATTGAACAAATATTTTGCAACTTTCAACCTGCATGTATATTATATACAAACATAATTGATATCAACATGCATATTTTAAAAAGTAAAAAAGAAAAAAAATTAGCTAATTACTTCAGTGGCGACCAAAGTCTCAGATATAGGTCTGACTTCAATCTCAGTCCAATCTTGTTTCTGCTTCTGAACTATTTTCTTTTCGTCTTTTGGTACAGTAAGAGCAAGTAGAAGATCAGTGGCCAACATCCTACAAATTATCATAACAACTTATTTTAATTTAGATATATTTTGAAAAATATTTCACAACCAAGAAATATTCAGAAAATCAACTTACTATTTTGTAAATTCATTAGCCTCTTTGAACTTTGGGTTGATATCCACGATTGAAGAATCAAAAGCATTGCTGACTTTTACTTCACCTATATAGAGATCAAAATTAAGGAGTCAATAAAAACATTCAATAATACATTTGTTAGGAATAAGAAAAGAAGCTATACCTCTATACCAACCAATCTTGGCAAACCGTCTCAAGCAAATAACCATTTCATTGTTTGAATCAGCAAAATGAATCTCAACTTGATCCGCATAATTGCCCCATAAGCAATACACAACTTCATCACCACTGTATTTTTTCCAATTTCAAACACAAATAAATATCCAACATTTGTTAATAACTATATATATACATATCAAAGAATACAGAAGAAGAACATAATTCTATATAAACCACTGTATTTTACCTGAAGTCACGTAAACAAAATTGAGCTTTTTTCGTGTCTTTTCCCATAACTTGAACAGTTTGAATTCCAGCTAGATCTACAACTTGTCTAATAACATCTGTATGTAAAAACAATAAATAATTTATTATGACAAAAGAACAGAGAATTTTTTTCAGAGTATTCATCATTTATGTTGTAAATAAACTCTATGATTATGGCTGCATACCTTTAAGCCAAAAATTCTTCTTCTGATCGATATTCCTAAATCCTCGTAACTTGAAAGAGAAACGAAAAGATTACCACAAAGATTATCACAATCTGATACCACTGTTTCACTACCGAAAGTCAACTTGTATTGATGAACTGTTGGGCGATAATGTTCTTTTGCTTCTGAAACAGAAAAAGTGTCGATAGTTTTCCACTCCCCAACAGGCAAATCTCACTTCAGTCGATAGATTTGATTTCTTTTAAAAAATGCTACAATCTTAACACCTTAGAAAACAAAGAAAAGTTAAATAAGATATTGATTAGAAAATGAGAATTATAAAAACAATAAAACTTCTGTTACTTACATTTTCATCAGCGAGGACCAACTCTAATGTGTTGCCTCCATAACTCGTATTTTGTTTCCAAGAATGAAGAACCTTTACGCGAATTTGCCAATTTTCCCTGTAAGGTTTAACACCATTGAGGAATACAAAAGTGTTTCGTTTTGTCATTTTCTTCTCGTGGTACTGAATGTTGAATGTTTGATATGAGAATATCTATATATACTCATTACAGTTTAGGTTTTCGCGTGAAGAAAATATATTCTCCAACAATTCAGAAAACTAACTATTATTCTATAATTAATATCAAACCAAGAGATTTAGTATATAAGCGAGATTTTTGGCAAAATAGGTTGACTTGGAGAAGGGATAATTCCATAAACGATTGTTAATATCTATCGATATTATTCTTTATGATTAATAGCGAATCAAGAGGTTTAAATGTAACCGAAATTTACTGATTTAAAAGTAGAAGAATATACTGAGGATTTTCGTAAGAAATAAGAAGATATTCTAAATTTATGTTCCAAATCATTATAAGATACGAATCAACACTGACTTCCTAAACAATAACGAACTATAATTAACCGTGTGATGATTAGAGTAGAGTAACAATAATATCATATTTTTGACCCGCGCTTAAAAAAAGCGGATACTATTTTTGTTGTTTTATCTACAGATGGATCGATAGGTCTTTTGGTTTGATGATATAAAATATTATATAATCAAGATCAAATTATTGTGCGAGTATGAAGAAATTTTTGGGTCTTCTTCTTCTCCTCCCAAAGATCTTTATTTTACAAGTCCCAAAACCTTTGTTGATTTTTTTGGCAAATGTTTGCTGCTTCAACAAAACTTGCTGCTTACGGTATCGTAGCTTGGAACAGAAAACACTGCCAGAAAAAGAACCAGAAACAATATTAAGGACACAATATCATTGGGGTTATTTTATATTCTCTATAAATGAGATATAGTATTATGTTAAATGTATTAAGGAAAAGAGACAGATATTTATTACCATCTCCAAAGGAATCCATTGTCAAAGGCTTTGAAATTATCTTGCTGGTGAAATTTGTAGTGTCCTTCAAGGTAAGTTCGTCTAGTGCCTTCAAGAACTGCTCAACTGGTTTCCTGCAATAAATTTTTAATATAAAAACACCTTCATGAACAAGCAGAGAGGAACTATTGAGTTTAAAAGTGAAACTATATTTTTTACCCGCGCTTAAAAAAAGCGGATACTATTTTTGTTGTTTTATCTACAGATGGATCGATAGGTCTTTTGCTTTGATGATATAAAATGTTATATAATCAAGATCAAATTATTGTGTGGGTATGAAGAAATTTTTGTTTTATAATGTCTCAGACAATTGTTTATGTTTCTAAATAACTTAACAATGGTTGTACCTAAAATGTGTACTTGAGAAAGATTGTATATTTAACAATTAAATGGTCCAATTTTTTAGTTTTGTGATTAATTCGTAAAATCATTTAGTTACAAAATTTCAATCGCTCAGTCCGACCCGCCCCATCTAACCTGCCCAGGTTGAATCATTTTTTTCTACTCAAAAATTTGACCCGTCTGACCCGCAAATAAAATATATTTTTGCAATTTTTTTTATAAAATTTAGAAGAAATTCAGTCCACTAATGAAATCCATTAGTATATAATTTTTAGGCCCAAAAAAGAAAATACTATATTGCCATTAATGAAAATAAAAATTTGTTCATATCACTAAGAATATAATTGGAAAACACAAAAAATTCATTAAACATAATGTTTATGTTTTAATGGTATTGATTTTTAATTCTTTGAAACGAAGAGACTATAAGGAGTAGTATACTATTTAAATTTAATAGTATGACAATAAATATTTGATGAAACTTAAGTAGCATTAAGCCAATTTATTAGGTATTACCTATTTTGTATGAAATCAAAGTTTATGAATATAGCTTAATCCTCAAGAAAGGAGGAATTGTTCAGCAAGCCAAAAACAATCAAAGTGGCTAAACATCCGCTGCAACAGAAGCTAAGTGAGAAATATAGACAAAAGAGATAGAAGCATCCATAACACATAAGCAACTTATATAACAGAAACATCACAATTATTAAGTGATGAGATGAAGCAAAGGGAATCAGAAGACATACATGGTGAATTACTTCCCAAACATGCAGCAAGTGCACTGAAAGCAGCAAGGAATCTAGCTATAGAGATGATCATTAAAATTGAATCCTTTCTACTGTCAAATTAATAGTAGTTGTTGTAATACTTTAAATTCTAATCTAGAAGACCAATTCACACTTTATCTTTTATTGGATAAAAATTAAACTAAAACAACGAAGGGTTTGAGAATTAAAGGAAGCGAAAATAACAAGTAACACGTTTGGTTTGGGGTTTTCAATTGATTAAAAAGCTAGTTTAGGGTTACTTGCAAGCCAAACAATTATTCAAGTTGGATTTGAAACAAGCCTAGAACTCAGATCAGTCAAATAGATGAGCCCACTGTGGGAACGGGAACCGGAACCAGAGTTGGGATGTAAGAAGAATCAACAACACGAGCGTCTGTATAAATCTTTTGAGTGAAGACAGTGTTGGTGGAAGACTTGAACAATGTATGTTGATAATCCCAAAGGAAGAAGAAGACGACGCCATCTCCTTGCTTAGAAATTAGCACGGGTGTGAATCGCTGTAAGCTTCCTAATCGTGGCTTGTAAAGACGGCACAAACATATTGAATGCATCTTAACCCATGTTTCATCAACCATGGTCCAAATATGGAGATGGACATCAGGAGTGGCCCTCATCTCGGACACTGAGAGACGATTCTCCCCGAGGCTCAGAAGCTCAGCTGAAAGGGGAGCGTCTGACGAAAAGTTGGGGTAGGAGATGACTCTAAACTCTTCTGTATGAAGATCAAATGCAACTATACCCGGTGCGTCCAGTTCCCAGAGATCAACAGTGAACCAGTGAACCGAACCATTGACATAGACTGATCTCTCTGTAATAAAAATCCGGTGAGGAACGACGCCTAATTGTCTCCATTGCCCTGTTTCGAGGTCAAGAACATTGCAATCAAGAACGAGGTTTGATCCTGAATCGTTACCACGTAGCTCAACCACTTTGTATGTTCCCGTGACTTCATCTTTACCGAATCCAAACGTGCTTACTCTCGTCGGAAATCCAGCCACGAGATTGTTCAAATGTTGGATGTGAACAAGTGATGCGATGGGGATACGTTTTCCTTTACGAAATTCCGTGGAGGAGGAGAGATGTTCTCCCGGAGGAAACCGACGAGATTCTCGTGTAGCCGGATTACAAACTTGAATAGAATCAGAGCGAGGGATGCATATCAAGCCGTCGCACGTCAGCGAAGCAATGGAAGCGTCACAATTGCGGATATACCAGATATCTTTTTCTTCTTCTTCTTCTTGATGTTCTTCTTCTCCAAAGAGGAAAAGGCTCGGTGCAGCACCGTCGCTGTCCAGAGCTAAAAGGATTTTCCGGCGAGAATTCTTGACATGTCTCTGGACGAAACGCTCCGATTCCATCAACGATTTCCATCGCCTCGAAACAGACTTGAATCGCAAGATAGATTTCACCGGAAGCCTTACCAGGATATCTTCCACCACATCATTACATATGTCTGCCATCTTCTCTGTGTTTTTTTTCCTTTTTTCTTTTTATTTATTGTGGGGGCTCTACTCCTATTGAACTCTTGTGTGTTTTCTTCTTCTCTGTGTATATACACTAACCGAACCGACTTTCTTTTCCTCCTAAACCTTTTGACTTTAGGACTCAATTAAACCACTTTGCGTTAGTTCTAAAGTTTCTTTTTTTTTAACAACATAAATACATACACCATCTACAGTAGAACCTCAATAAATTAATAATATTGAGACTTTGAAATTTTATTAATTAATAGAGATATTAATTTATAAAAGTTTCCTTATTTAGATTTATTTTTCTACTTTCTCCAATTTTATTTTTAAAATAAAAAATATTTATTTTAGCATATGTATATTATTTAAATTTTAGAAATTTGACTTTTATATTATTTTATTATCTTATTTGGTGTATACTTTTATGTTTCATAGAATCATTACATGGTTTTCGATATAATTTAACTAAATACTATTAAAATATATTGAAATTTTTAAAAAAAAATAAAAGTATTTTTATAGTAAATATAAAACCCCTAACTAAATATTATCAAAATATATTAAAATGTTTAGAAAAATAAACCAAAAATATAATGTTAAATTGTACCTATATAAAATTATATACATCTAGATTATTAATTTATGATTTTAATTGGACCATATATTTACATGACAGTTTTTAAAATATTATTATCTTATTATTTTATCGATTGGTGTCATATTTTATACCGGCCCAAGTTGGGACCAGTGAAATTTATTAATTTATAGAGATTATTAATTTATCGAGTATTAATTTATAGAAGTTCTACTATACTCTATTAAAATAAAATTCTTTTTTATCTACTAATACAAGTTTGTCATTTAAATTACAACATAAGTAGTGCGATTCAATTAACTAGATTTTGACCCGCACTTTTCAAGCGCATAAATTTTTTATGATTAAAAATTTATATAATTAGGCTTTGTCTTAATTTAAAGAATGTTTTGGTATAAAATCAGTTCACCAAAATTTGTGGTAATGAATGTTTTTCATTAGTTTTTAGTTGCAGTTTTTATTTCTAGATTTTGTTTTAGATTTTGGTTTTTGGTTTTTAGTTTTTAAGTTTCTATTTTTGATTTTCAGCTTTTGGTTTAAGTTTTTAATTTTTAGATCCACTGAGTTGAGTTTGAAATGATATTACCAACAAACAAAATCCCAAATAATCGAACATTTAATTTAAAACAGAAAAGATGACAACTTTTTTTTTAAAATTTTTTTTTGCAATAGTTTATTTTGTAGATAAACAAAAGCAAAAAAATAACCTACGTTTTCAGCTTTTGGTTTTGAATTTTAGTTTTTAGATTTAGTTTTTGGTTTTGTTTTACATTTTTTTAAATTAGTAAATTATTTAAGGAAAATAAAACAATAAATTATTTAAAAGTTACCATTAAAATTTATCAAAACAAAGTGATTGTTATTTAAAATAAAAATATATTAACATGTTTTAAATGACATGATTTAAATAAATAATTAATAATAGACAATTTTGTTTTGTTAAAAATATTAAATACCTTTTGGATTTGAAAATAATAATTGATTTTTTGATCCATTAAGGTGGAAAGTTTATTCAATGGTTTTTGGAGCTTTTCCTTAATACTAAGTCCAAAAACTAAACTATATAATTTGTTCTAAAAATAAAAGTAAACCTAAGACTATATTCTGTAAATAACTACCGATTTAATTTAAGTAATGCGGTTCAATTAGTTATATGACTTGTATTATTTGTAACAAGAAGGATTCTATTTTAATAACTAAGAAATAGAATTCTATATAAAAAATTTATGCGCTTGAAAAGTGCGGGTCAAAATCTATACTATTATTTGCGAAGTGGTTTTTTGCACTGGAGCTCTCACATTAAAAGTTTGAGCGATTAATATCTAATTTATCCTTAATGAAAATTTTATATATAACTAATTTTATAAGTAAAAACGAAATTTAAAAAATAAAATTAGATTAGTATGTTATTATCTTAGATAATTGAGAATAATTAATATAGTAAGTTTATAAAAAATCAAAAATAAGATAATTCTTATATGTGTTATTATTATCTGAATATAATATTGAAACAGCATGATAATGCTTATATATCTTATATATAATTGATTTTGGCTTTTGAAAGTAATATCATTCTATTATAAATTTTAAAAACTAAAATATATTAATCGAGTTTAATTAAATATTAATCAAACAAAAACATTTGTATAAAGATACTTTTAATTATATAATTAAATATTAGATATTAAAAATTGGAACGGTTCAAGTTAATGATACCTTTAATGAAATTTATATATTTATATATAAACTAGTTAAAAACGAATTTATGTTAGTGATAGAAATTTATATGGTATTATATTAGTTAATTTATCATAAATTTATAGGATAATTATCCACATTCATGCATATTTAAAACATAAGATATCTTATGGAATATTATACAGTTATATGGAAATATCTTATTTATTATGAAAAAATAAAAATGTAAGTTATAAAAAAATTTAAAACTAAATATGAAGAAAAAAATTAAATATATTTTCAAAAATATTTTATCATGTTGATGTTTTTCAACACTATAATAAGCATATAGATTTTGATGAAAATTCATATAAAAATATTTTAATGTTTGATTTACGTTTTTTAAAACTATAAAAAATAACTTGTAATATTATTTTAGAGTTAATAAAAATAATAATAAATATTCATAAGAAAATTATGTCCGCATATACGGGCACAACACCTAGTCTAGTAATAACTAAGAAACAATCCATGCTTTTGTTTTGGTATTTATCTTACAACCACTTTTTGAAATTCACTGTGAAATTATGAGTGAAAAGGAAACTAAAAGAGAGAAGGAAAGCCACCGACAAGAGTCGGTGATCCCAAAACAATCAATGGAATTGGGAAAAGGCCCTAAAGTTTCTTTATTTCTGGTTTAGGCCGATTCTGTAAACATTACTTTTTATTTTTATTTTTATTTTTATTTTTATTTTTATTTTCTATTCTGTAAACATTATGGTGTGTTAAGTATCAAAAATAGTCTTATTTCTTTGTTGTATCTTTACATTAATAAATAACTCAAATATGTAATTTAATGTATATTTTGTTGGTCAAATATTAAGATTTTTATGTTTCGATAATTATATTTGAAATTTGATTATTTATAAGTGTGCTTTTTAAGTTAAAACAAAATTGTTTATATTGTAAGTTTAAATGATGTTTTCTATGTGTATGGAGTTTTTGTTGCTAATTTTAACTGATTAACAAAAAGTTTTCTTAACAACCACTTCTACATAATGTCACCAAGCTTTTCTTAGTGCAAATTGTTAAAACTTGTCAATTTGTGAACTTAAGTGTGTTCTTCGAGTCAAAAACAAATATTCAGCTTACCAGAACTCGAATTTAAAATGGGTTCGACCAGGTTTGCAGATGTGTTACTACATCCAAACCAAATCCCCAAAAAATCTGAATTAAATCAAAATCGAATTTTTAGAACATCCGAATATGGCTAAATTTCATTAAAAAAAATTATACTGATTGAATGCAATCCAACCCCAATTGGACACCTGAACGACTAAATCGAATGCTATTAGTGTTACAAATAGAAGTTTAGATGAAATTTTTAGTGTAGTTAATTTGGTATGGTTTTATGTGGTAGTATATATATATATATATATATATATATATATATATATATGATTTAATTTTATCATAATTTTAATTAGTAAAAAAATTCCGAATGTATATGTTAACCAAAGCACCTTCCGACTACTAAAGTACTATCAATTTTGAAATATCTTCTTTAATCTTTCGTAAGAGGGTCGGTGGAGATGTGTTAGACAACATATTAAAGGTACACTTAGGATTAGAATAGAAGAGGGATGAAGATTTATTTAGGGATTCCAGAAGATATCAGCGGATCCAAATACAAGTTATTTGCATTCTTAAGAGACAAACTAATGAATAAAGTGAATGGATGGTTGGGAATATGGCTATCAAAAGGTGGGAAGGAAGTGCTAATCGAATCTATTTTCTTAGCAGTTTTGTCTTATGTTATGTCTAGCTTCTTTCTCCCGCTGGAGATATGTGAAAACCTCGTAGGTATCATTGCACAATTCTGGTGGAGTTCGAACCCACCAAAAGTGAGGGATTCACTGGCAAAATGGAAAAACTTTGTTTACCACGAGAAGAGGACGGAATCGATTTTCGTATGATCCATGAGTTCAGTCTGGCTCTAGTAGCAAAAAAAACTATGGCGACTTGTCCAATACCTTGATTCATTGGTGGCTCAAATTTTGAGGGGAATATACTACATAACGAGCTCGCCTTTGCGAGTAAGCTCTGTAAACAGCCCATCTTATGTATGGACCAGTATTTCAACGGCTCGTATACTACTGTTTGTGGGAATTAGACAAAAAGTTCATTTTATGAGATCAATGTGTGGGAGGACCTTTGGATCCATACCACACTGGCTAGACCGGCTTGACCTTCTATCCATGTGCTACATATGAGATTGCGTGTTAGTGACCTTATTAATAGAGGGTTAATGGAATGGGATGTTGGATTATTAGAGACTATGTTGTCCCTGATGACATACCTCTTATTCGGAGTTTAGCCATAAGCTCAACTTATCGCCGAGATACATATATTCTGCTGGAATTAAACGAAGAATGGTCAATATACAGTCAAGTCTAAATACTGGGTTGCTCGGAATTTGTTAAGAACTGAAGAAGAGACATATGTCTTGGAACCCACTATTACTAAACTCCAAGCCTTTGTGTGAAAGATTAAAGCCCCTCAAATTTTTTATTTTGTGTGGCAATTGATTACATTTCATGTGGCAGTAACAAGAAACATGACACGCTGCTATATGAGATGCGATAATTATTTCTCCAAATGTGGTGAACCAGAAGAAACAGTTACTCATACCATATTTGAATGTCCTCTAGCTTTACAA